TTACAGGCTAGTGAATGCTGCATAAAGGTAGCTAAAAATATTTACAGACTAGTGAATGCTGCATAAAGGTAGCTAAAAGTATTTAAAGGCTAGTGAATGCAGCATAAAGGTAGCTAAATGTATTTCAAAGTTATTGAATGCTGCATAAAGGTAGCTAAAGGCTAAATTTAGCTTGACAAAAATACAGCAAGATTTGAAATTAAATTGACATTGTTGTTTTTCTACAGGGGTAAATGTTTCAATATCAAGTTTAGTCTTGTTGGAAGATACATACTTTAACCAAAACACATCAGCTAAATGAGCTGAATGTTTTCATACATGAAAATAACTCGGTGTGCAGAAGTCGTTGGAAACAGCATAAATGTGTTCATGGGTCTGTTAGCAAAATATCTCATAAACCACTGAGGAGATTTTAATGAACCTCTTGTAAAATGATCATTGAATGGCCCTTGATTACATTTTACTCAGCCTGATTCAAGATGGCCACCACTGGCATCTCATACAAAAATGGATAAAACCCAATCGCTTCTAGATACATGGTGTGGTAGTAGCTGAGAGTAACCCTCACCACTGACAGGTTACAAAATGTAAAACTTTAGCACTACCTGTTGGAGTCACCTGTGACAGCCTGTTAGCAAAATATCTCACTAGGTTTTGGCCAAGTGAAAAAGTCTCATGGGTGCGCATCTAGAACTGATCAAGATGGCCGCCGCAGGTAATCAACATTATCCAACACAAAATGGTTACAACTAATTCGATTGTATTGGGCTAACATTCGGAGTGGTAGTAGCTGACAGTCGTCCTCAACACGTGCCGTGATTACAGCCTGAGGCGCTGACATGAAAGGCGGCGGGTGACGCGCATTCCTCCTCCGCTCTCCGTCAAGTTAATGCGCATGATCACTTGTTTATATTTTTTAATATAAAAACAAGGCGCACGCGCTCCCTGCACGTGCCAGCTCGGTGTCTTGAAAGCAGCAGCGTTCGTTCGGCCTCCCGTGTCCGTCAACTCCGCCTCGTGAGCGCGCCTGGGCGCGCGCGGGCAGCCCTGTTTGTTTGTGTTGGGAGATTGGAAATGGCGGAGCGCAGAGACCAAAGCGATAACTTGGGTTAGCGGACGAAGTGCACCGTCACCGAAGCGCAGAGAGCGACTCCTGGAGCTGCTGGTGATCTGCTGCTGCCCACCGGATACGGTTTACCCGCAGGAGGAGGAGAAAAGGGATTTACTGAGCCGAGCAGTTTTTTTTTAATCGGGCTCGGGTTAGCTAGCTCAGAGCAAAGTGAGCTAGCA